GGAGGAGGAGGAGCGAGAGGTGGAGGAGGTGGTGGAGGAGGTGGAGGAGGTGGAGGAGGTGGTGGAGGTGGAGACGAGGAACAGCAGGGCGAGGTGGGCGAGCGCCCGTGCGCCTGCCCGCCCACCCGGCGTCGGTGTCCTCGAGGACGGTCACCTCGGTGGCGCACCTGGGGCGAGGGAGGAGGAGGAGGAGGAGGAGGAGGAGGAGGAGGATGCGGAGGAGGAGGAGGAGAGGGAAAGCGCTCCTGGAAGGCTCCAGGGGAGGTCCGGGGGCGGGGGGTCTCCTCGGTTTTGGGGCGGGTGCCTCCTCCCGGTGGTGTCTCGGGGCTTCTCGGCGCGCCTCCGGGAGCCTCCCCCGTGGCTCCCTTGGCGTCTGGGCTCGAAGTGTCGAACGGGGTCGTCCCAGAAAGAAAGACTTGAGGGATGTCTCTTTCTTCTAAGCTGGGTCTCCTACAGTCGGACCTGGGCCAGAAGAACACCCTTCAAGAACGGGAGGCCCTCCCTTGGCCTAAACACACATCACATCCACGGGTACTCCGGATTCCATAATAAAGTCGGGGGGGTCACATTTGGGGGGGGGTCTGCTTTGAGCTGTCTTGGAGGGTTCGGGGGGATCTGGGCAGAGGGCCGCCCTTTCATGGATGGTCTGGGAGGGTCTAAAACTTCTCGTCTGGGAGGGTTGAGACCCCCTCCCTTTTATTACGGAATCTGGAGTGCCCTCCCAGGATGCATCCAACAAGCACAGAGAACACCTGGCACCCCCCTGGAACCAGCCTCGATCTTGTACCTCGGTCCGGCCGTACCACTCCCGTGTGGCAGGATGCTGGGTGAGGGCGGCAGAGTGAGGAAGGAGTAAAAGAGGAGGAGGAGGAGGAAGAGGAGGAGGAGGAGGTGGGGGATGGAGATGAGGGAGGGGGGCTGAAACGCATAAGGGAGGCGGAAAGAGGAGGCGTGAAGGAGACACGAGCAAGAGGAATGAGAGGAAGGAGAAAGAGACGGAACGGGAAACGGAGGAGAACGGAGAGCAAGAGTGAGAGAGACAGAGAGCAGGGGGGACGGACAGCGAGGGATGGGGGAAACAGAAACGCACTCTGGGGCACGCCAAATCCTGTTGTGGCGCGGTTTCGGCCCAGTTTCGCTGGAGGCGTCCTCAGAATTTGCCTGGTGTGGCCCTGCTTTGGCTTGGTTTCGGCACAAGTTCGCTTGAAGCGTCATCAGACATTGCATGTGTTCTCCCTCGTTTGGCATGGTGTCTGCTCCGTTTCGTTCGGGTCGTTCTTACACTTTGCGGTGGTGATTCGAGCTTGCTTACTACACACGAGACATCATCGAATGCCTGCACGGTTGGGCAATATCCATCATGGTCGCCATGCGGTCTCAACACACGCTGGGATGTGTCACGTTGTCTTCGACACTGAACGGTGAATTAGCACACGTCGTGGTGGGCGTGTGCAAACTGGACAGAATTGCACGGTGTCATGAATACCAACTGTGGCCCACATGTAACACGACTGCGCTGCAAAATGGCGGGTGGCATGGGTGTGGACATTCCCAACACGCTGTGGATCGACATGGGCGCGTGTGGTAACATTGGAAGAAAACCTTTCCGAGGCTGATCACGTTGAGAAGCACACCTCCGAACGCCACAGCAAGGACCCAATAACGCTCGAACGACACATGAATGCATCTGTGCCCAACCCCGTCCGCATCGGCGGGCGTGCGGCCCAAACGCCCCCTCACCAAATTCTACATGGGCTTCCGCCCGCGGGGGGGACCCCGGGGGGGTGATCGACTCCTTGAATTCTCATTCTCTCTAGGAGAGGGTGCAGCCTGCTTTGGGCGATTCTGCCTGGGAAGTCCTCAACATCTGCCTGGTTTGGCCCATGGTTTGGTTTGGTTTGGCCTGGTTTGACTTGGTTTGGCCGCGCGCCCCGCCTGAGACATCCTCAGCCTTTGCCTGGTTGAGCCCCTGGTTTGACCTGATTTGGGCGTGGATTCGCATGAGATGTCCTCACAAGTTTGCGTGGTTTGGCTGTGGTTTGGCCTGGTTTGGGCCCGGATCCGCCCGAGACGTCCTCAACAGCTGCTTGCTTCCGCCTTGGTTTGGCAAGGTTGTTGGCCCGGTTTCGCTTGAGACGTCCTCACAAGTTGCCGCCCCGCTTTGGCTTGGTTTCGGCCCAGTTTCGCTTGAAGCGTCATCAGACATTGCATGTGTTCTCCCGCGTTTGGCATGTTGTCGGCTCCGTTTCGATCGAGACATCCTCCCAGCTTGCGGTCGTGATTCGAGCTGGCAGACTGCACAAGAAGCATCATCGAATGTCTGCACGGTTGGGTAACATCCAGCATGGCCGCCACGCGGTCTCAACACACACTGGGATGTGCATCGCTGTCTTCGGCCATGAACGGTGCATTAACACACGTCGTGGTGGGCGTGTGCAGACTGGACAGAATTGCACGGTGTCAGGAATACCCATTACGGCCCACATGTAAGGCGTGCGAGGCGGCGTTTGGAGAAAAACATGTTCCGAGGCTGTAGTCGTACCTACACGAAAAGTGGCCTCGCAAAGAGAGCGGAACAAATGCTGGTCTGCTCGACTCGTCACGTAGCAACGCAGGGCTGTGCAAAAGCATGCGCTTCTGCTCCCTCGAGACGACGCAGCAACCACGCCACACCCAGAAAACACATCAACCACTGGAACACACCGCCCCGACCGAGAAAACCGCGCCCACGCTGCAGCCGCAACTCCCAGTCTACATCGCTCGCACTTCCCTGGCATTGCCGGACTGGCGGGCGTCCCCAGTTTTCCAGGGTGGGTGGGAGGTTTTGAGGGTAGAGCTTTTGACTGAGTTCTAAACTGCCGCCGACGACTGCGAATCGGTGCAGACTGCCGTCGGCGATGACGGGTAAACCAACGGCCCGCTGGCCGGGGCGTGGACCCTCGAAGACTGCTAATTTGAGGGAGTTTCTGTGGAACTCACGTCATCCTCACCCCCGGCGCGAAGAGCACGAGCCCAGAGCGGCCTCCGGCACCGTTTCCGGACGGATCCGCTGGATCCGCTGGATCCGCTGGATCCGGTGACGAATCCCAAACCGGCGCCCTCGCCTGAGACATCCTCACAAAACGGGCCCCGGGGGGGATGCCCAGAGGAGCCCAGAGCGGACTCCGGCACCGTTTCCGGACGGATCCGCTGGATCCGCTGGATCCGCTGGATCCGGTGACGAATCCCAAACCGGCGCCCTCGACTGAGACATCCTCACAAAACGGGCCCCGGGGGGGATGCCCAGAGGAGCCCAGAGCGGCCTCCGGCACCGTTTCCGGACGGATCCGCTGGATCCGCTGGATCCGCTGGATCCGGTGACGAATCCCAAACCGGCGCCCTCGCCTGAGACATCCTCACAAACCGGGCCCCGGGGGGGATGCCCAGAGGAGCCCAGAGCGGCCTCTGGCACCGTTTCCGGACGGATCCGCTGGATCCGCTGGATCCGGTGACGAATCCCAAATCGGCGCCCTCGCCTGAGACATCCTCACAAAACGGGCCCCGGGGGGGATGCCCAGAGGAGCCCAGAGCGGCCTCCGGCACCGTTTCCGGACGGATCCGCTGGATCCGCTGGATCCGCTGGATCCGGTGACTAATCCCAAACCGGCGCCCTCGCCTGAGACATCCTCACAAAACGGGCCCCGGGGGGGATGCCCAGAGGAGCCCAGAGCGGCCTCCGGCACCGTTTCCGGACGGATCCGCTGGATCCGCTGGATCCGCTGGATTCGCTGGATCCGGTGACGAATCCCAAACCGGCGCCCTCGCCTGAGACCATCCTCACACATCTGTTCGCCCCGGGGGGGATTTCCCAGAGGCGCCCGGAGCGGCCTCCGGCACCGTTTCCGGACGGATCCGCTGGATCCGCTGGATCCGGTGACGAATCCCAAACCGGCGCCCTCGCCTGAGACATCCTCACAAAACGGGCCCCGGGGGGCATGCCCAGAGGAGCCCAGAGCGGCCTCCGGCACCGTTTCCGGACGGATCCGCTGGATCCGCTGGATCCGGTGACGAATCCCAAACCGGCGCCCTCGCCTGAGACATCCTCACAAAACGGGGCCCGGGGGGGATGCCCAGAGGAGCCCAGAGCGGCCTCCGGCACCGTTTCCGGACGGATCCGCTGGATCCGCTGGATCCGGTGACGAATCCCAAACCGGCGCCCTCGCCTGAGACATCCTCACAAAAAGGGCCCCGGGGGGGATGCCCAGAGGAGCCCAGAGCGGCCTCCGGCACCGTTTCCGGACGGATCCTCTGGATCCGCTGGATCCGGTGACGAATCCCAAACCGGCGCCCTCGCCTGAGACATCCTCACAAAACGGGCCCCGGGGGGGATGCCCAGAGGAGCCCAGAGCGGCCTCCGGCACCGTTTCCGGACGGATACGCTGGATCCGCTGGATCCGGTGACGAATCCCAAACCGGCGCCCTCGCCTGAGACATCCTCACAAAACGGGCCCCCGGGGGGATGCCCAGAGGAGCCCAGAGCGGCCTCCGGCACCGTTTCCGGACGGATCCGCTGGATCCGCTGGATCCGGTGACGAATCCCAAACCGGCGCCCTCGCCTGAGACATCCTCACAAAACGGGCCCCGGGGGGATGCCCAGAGGAGCCCAGAGCGGCCTCCGGCACCGTTTCCGGACGGACGACCTGACTGCATAACACGCCTGGATATGCCGACGGGGGCGAAGGAGGAGGAGGAGGAGGAGGAGGAGGAGGAGGAGGAGGAGGAGGAGGAGGAGGAGGAGGAGGAGGAGGGGGAGGGGGCAGGCGAGGGAGCCCCGGCCCTGGGGGAGGGGCCCTGAGGGAGCCCTGATGGGCTTCCGGCACCATGGAGAGGTCCTGTGGGGCGGCCGCCCCTTCTTCTCTCGGTCGTTTCCCTCTCGCCCAGAAGCGCGCGCCCCTTCTTCTATATATACATAAACTCCCGATCAACCGCAGAGCGGCGGATGTTACACAGAAAGGCGGAACCCCGACCCGGGTCACCCTAAGGGCTGGCTACCGCAACGGAGGAGTCGCTGCGGCCACCTGGCGCTCCCTTTGGCATCTGAATGAGTGCAACACGCCGGGAACACTCTGCCGTAGGAATCGTCACTGCCGTGTGGTCGTCCTCTCCCAGCAGGCCTCCGACCGAAAACGAAGTTCGGCTCAAATGCTTGACGTAGAAATTCAAATACTTGAGGCCACGCTTCGTCTGTCCATGAACGACTTTCAGCTCAACCTGTTCAAAGGCAAGCCATTCCGATGTCTTAGGAGCAGGTTCCAATACGGTGTAGCGGTATCCTCCAGCTTGCTGGAACTCTGCCCAAGACCCGGTAACATTCAGTTCTTGGAAGTACATATCCGCGCACCCACCCAGTTGGCGCGCATAGGCCTGCACGCGAAGCAATGCTCTGTCAGCGCGCTGCCCACGAGGGATATTTATCAAGACGTGCTGGCCTGGCTTCATCAAGTCGAACCGCTGACCATGGACGTTCTGCAGGTGGGGATCGCCTTTGCCAGACGGGTCCACCTGTCCGGGCCCACCAGTTCCACCCGACGGAAGCGGGCCGGCCGTCGGGCTGGGCGTCGGGCTGGCCGTCACCGAGCCTGGCGCCACGGTCGGGCTGGGCGTCGGGCTGGGCGTCGCGGTGCCCGCAGGGGGGCACACCAGGACCAGCTCGTTGTATGAGTTGTCCGGCTCCCGCACGAAGGTGTTGTAGTAGTCGCAGTGGTCGTGCCGCGGGTCCAGCTGACTGGCTGCGCATTTCTGGAAGAACGTGTCTCTGTTGGAGTCCAGAGTGGCGTATGCAGCGTCCCACTCAGACTGGGTGGCGTAGCGCAACCCCCAAGGGCAGAACCAGTCATAAGTAGAAAGGGCATTGAGTTCGGAGCACCAAACTACACCAGAGCACGGAGAAGCCCAGAGGAAACAGATGCCGTTGACGTTGTAGCAATACGGCTCCGCAGGATAAGCACCAGTTCCACCCGCCGTCGGATCGAACGTCGGGCTGGGCGTCGGGCTGGCCGTCGCCGAGCCTGGCGCCACGGTCGGGCTGGGCGTCGGGCTGGGCGTCGCGGTGCCCGCAGGGGGGCACACCAGGACCAGCTCGTTGTATGAGTTGTCCGGCTCCCGCACGAAGGTGTTGTAGTAGTCGCAGTGGTCGTGCCGCGGGTCCAGCTGACTGGCTGCGCATTTCTGGAAGAACGTGTCTCTGTTGGAGTCCAGAGTGGCGTATGCAGCGTCCCACTCAGACTGGGTGGCGTAGCGCAACCCCCAAGGGCAGAACCAGTCATAAGTAGAAAGGGCATTGAGTTCGGAGCACCAAACTACACCAGAGCACGGAGAAGCCCAGAGGAAACAGATGCCGTTGACGTTGTAGCAATACGGCTCCGCAGGATAAGCACCAGTTCCACCCGCCGTCGGATCGAACGTCGGGCTGGGCGTCGGGCTGGCCGTCGCCGAGCCTGGCGCCACGGTCGGGCTGGGCGTCGGGCTGGGCGTCGCGGTGCCCGCAGGGGGGCACACCAGGACCAGCTCGTTGTATGAGTTGTCCGGCTCCCGCACGAAGGTGTTGTAGTAGTCGCAGTGGTCGTGCCGCGGGTCCAGCTGACTGGCTGCGCATTTCTGGAAGAACGTGTCTCTGTTGGAGTCCAGAGTGGCGTATGCAGCGTCCCACTCAGACTGGGTGGCGTAGCGCAACCCCCAAGGGCAGAACCAGTCATAAGTAGAAAGGGCATTGAGTTCGGAGCACCAAACTACACCAGAGCACGGAGAAGCCCAGAGGAAACAGATGCCGTTGACGTTATAGCAATACGGCTCCGCAGGATAAGAAGGGGTGGTCATGTTGGTCATCATGTCGGTGTTCACGTGCAGCTGGACGGAGATCGCAGTGGGCAAACTTCGTAGACATTGCACCACCAGCAAGACGGCACAGGGCGTCCTGTGGACCAACATCCCTAAACTCAGATGAATCAGAAGGTGAACGATCCGCCACCGTGCCTCCCTCGATGCACGAGTTGGAGTGTCTTCGGGTCCCTTTGATTTCTCTGCATTAGTATTGCAATACTCTGTGAAGTGCACACAACCTGGAATTCTGGACGCTTCAAGGCAACCTCCAAGTCACCCAGGGGATCGCCGTAAAATGCCCAGTATTGCCGACAGACGGCCCAGAAGGCCCCCATTACGCCCCCAAAAAACTCCAAGAGTTCACCCAAGAAGGACCCAAGAGTCTAAAAGCATTCAGATTATGTGAGGTTTCGCCGGATTGAGCGTCCTCGCTTTTTCGGGCACCCGACGCTCGAAGACGGCCAAGAGGACCAACATATCGCCCCAAGACGGCCCCCCAGAGGGCACCAAGACGGCCCAAGATAGCCCGAAGACGGCCACCCCAACAAGAGGCCAGGCCGAGAAGAGGCCCCGAGGCCCCCCCAAAAACTGCTCCCAAGAGGCTTCCGAGGGGCCTCCCGCGAAGATCGCGCCAGGCATCCGAGGGGCCTCCGACCTTCAGCCCGGGCGTGGTGGCGGGATGGGCGGATGGCCACTAGATCCGCCGCCCCTGGTTGGGTAGTCGAAGCCAATCTGGCGCCAATCTGGCAGGCCCAATCTGGCAAACGGGGGCAATGTGGCGAGGGGGCCAACGCGAATCCAGTCTGGCGAATAACCCAAATCATCCAGTTTGGCCGGGCCAGATTGGCCCTTGGGGCCCAATCCAATCTGACAGTCTGGCCTTCGACTACCCAGCCTGGTTGGCTTGCCACCAGGGCGCATGGCGTGCTGGATTTTGAACAGCTGTTGGTCCTCACGAAGGTGATGCCATTCGGCGTTCGGCCGATCGCGCTGGCCCTGCGGAAAAGGGTGTTCCCGGCGGATGTCCACCCCGTAAGGACCCTTCAACTCCCCAGATCGTCGGTCTTCCCACGCCAGGCGGCCCCAAGGTGGCCTCAGGGTGGCCTCCAAGGCGGCCAAGATGGTCTCCAAGACGACTACGATGGCCACAAATCCAAAATAGTTCAAGATGCCTCCAAGACGGACCGAGATGCCCCAGGATGGCCTCAATACCGCCCAGAACGGCCCAAGAGGCCTCCTAGACTGCCCAGCAGGCCGTCCAGAAGGCCTGAAGATGCCACATTAATGAATTTGTCTTATGTTTGACGGATCTGGGCGTTTGCAGATCTTCGGCCATCCGACGGCCCACGACGGCCCCAAAAGCCCCCCCAAGATGGCCCTCAAAGCGCCCAAGAGGCCCCCAAGCTGGTCCCCTCACGGCCCAAGAGGCCCCCAGGACGGCTCCGAGACCTCCAAGACGTCCAAGATGGTCTTCAGGACGGCCCTGAAGCGCACCAAGAGGGCCCCAAGTTGGCCCAGAGAGGCCCCCCTGAACGGCTTCCAGCGGCATCAAGCGGGCCAGAAACGCCCTCCGACGGTCAAAGAATCTCCCAGGGAGCCTTCGAAAGCCCCCAGGAGTCCCAAAGAGAGAGAGAGAGAGAGAGAGAGAACAACCAAAACAAAAACAGAGAGAAGACGCCTTGCACGTCACAAGTGCATGGGCAAAAAAAGTGGCGCCAGCATGACCGCCGCCGAATGCAGTGAAACAGCGCGACAGACAAAGCTCTCTCGGTATCCCCGTCCCCATGGGCAGGGACGGTCTAAAAACTCGAAAAAGCCCGCAGGTGGACGACCTGGGAGAACAACGGCAGCAGGAGGCTGAGGAGGGAACGACACCCGGGACCGGGACAAATCCAGAGCCGGGGGGGGGAGGAGAACGAGCGACAGGGGACGACGGCCGCGAGGAGAGGAGAAGGACGAAGACCCCGCTACAGCCCAGGGGACGAGCGGGAGGGAGAGCAGGCAGATGAACGACGCAGGGCGGCGGAAGAGGAGGGGGCGACGACTCCACCTGTAGGGCTGGCGGGCGGGGGAGCTGGGGCACAATTACAACATCTTCACAAGTTACGCGTGCAGGAAACGCTCGGCGGTGGCTTGCCACTTGCCTGGCGGGCCCAGCCAAATTTCGTGCAAGGCACCCAAATCCCCGGCAATTCAGACGGCCAGCTCGTGCACTTTACGTTTCCACGTATTCCTTGGCCTCCCTCGGGGGCCGTCTCTGGCTGAAAAAGTAACAGATCCTGGTCGGAATACGCAACGGAGAACAGCAATGCGACCCACAAGGCACACCCGCCTGTGCGCTAGTGTGGTGCTGAGCATACGACAGCAACGTGTCTGCAAAAACGGTTGCATTACTGATCTGGCTAAAATATGAATGGCCACTGCCAGATAGCACCCGCAGGCACCGTGCTTGGAACGCATCTAGCTTGTTGCACTCAGGCACGCTGAACAACGTTGTGTGGATACAATACGTTAGCTCTGCGACGACGCATGCTTCAAATATTGCAACTTGTTCTGCACTGGCAAACGGGCGTGCTTCCAGATTCTACATAAGACACGGAAGTCTTTCGATGCCATGCCATGCCGCCTGCTCAACTCCGCGCTACTGGTGCCCGAGGCGTCTAGGAGGCCTCCGCGGTGCGCCATGCTGTCTTTCTGCGGGACCAGCCCGCCATCCAGTCTTCGGATGTCCGCGCTGCACCGCGCGGGCAGCACCTCCAACTTGTCCGAGTTGAAATCGAGACCGCAATGCCCCCTACTCTCGTGCATCGCCTGCATTAGAGCGCCGACGAAACCAGCAGCCGACCCAACTAGCAGCGAGTCGTCTGCGTAGGTGAGCTCGCATACTGGGAAGCCGTCTGTCGAAGCAAAGCCCTTGCTCTGGAAGGCGCGCTTTGCGTCGTGCATCAGAACGACCATGACGACCGGAATGGGGAAAGTGGGCACCCTTGTGAGATTCCGAACTCCTGCGGGCGCGGGCCAGACATCGCCCCGGCATCGCGAACGCGGAAGGATCTGTCTGTGCAGATGGCACGCGCGGCCTCGGCGAAGCAGCTGGGGACGCCAAATCTCAGGAGCGCTTGCACCAGGGCGTCCGGCGCCACGCTGTCGAACGCCTTTGCCCAATCCATCGCAAGGAAGACAAGCTTGCCCGATTCCGTGTCCCAGGTATCTTCGAAGAGTCTCCTGGCCATGAACAAGGCCTCGGACGTTCCGCAACTGGATCGGAATCCAAGCTGCGCGCTCCAGATCCGAGACTCCGCGCCAGCACGTTTCAATCTGCTGAGCAACAAAGAGGCGTAGAACTTGTAGCCGATGGGCAATAGCGAAATTGGGCGGTAGTTGGCACGCAGCGCAGAATCTCCTTTCTTAAATATGGCCGTTACAACAGCTCGGAGCCACGCGTCTGGAACAGACTTCTCCGCCCAACACCAGGTGCGCAACAGGATCGCCCATTCGCACTCCGGCGCGCCTGTCCTGCAGAGTGCTTTCCAGAGATCGGCAGGGGCCCCGTCCTCGCCAGCACCCCGGTTGCGCCTTCGGCCTTTGGCCGCTCGGCAGACTTCCGACTGGGCGATGGGGCCGCGCGCGACGTCGAGTCGAACGCCCAGAGCGGCCAGCTTATCCGCCGCCGTCGTCGGGCGCACCGCACACTGCACCGTGGAAAAATATTCAACCAACGCCTCGGCCCTCCTGTCGCTGTCTACAAGCTGGCCGCTGGCGTCCTTCATTTTCCCTCGGGCTGCAGCAGAGCCTTTCTTCATAGTCCCATCTTCGCCCCAGTCCCCAGTCGCAGTTTGCCAATCGATCGATGAGCCAGGCTGCTCGATCTGATTTGACTAATGCCTGGGTCCGTCCGTTCAGCGCTCTCTCGCATGCGAGATCTGCGCCCCTTCTCGCTTCGCCCCTGCGCGCGGTGAGCCGCGACGCGACGTCGCTGATCCAAGGTCGCCGCCGCGAGGCTGGAGGCGCAAGCAGACAACATCCGGCGGCGTGCCGGAAAGCTTCCATCATATTGTCGTTGAGCTGATTGAGGGAGTCCTGCGGCGCGCTGTGCTCTACCATGTGTTCTGCGAGCGCGGCTCCAAAACGCTCGGCGACGCCAGCGTCGGCCAAGGCCGTTGCATTCGGCCTCGGACCCCTTGCCTTTTTGCGTTTTCTTCAAAGATAGCTCGAGCGAGCTTGCGCAACGCAAGGAAATGATGCGATGCTAAAGCTGCTTCCCTGCGGCCCTCCACGTCCAGCACGCTCGGGAGATGGGGCTGCAGGCAGAGCAGAACATCGACAAATTGGGTCGGAGGGGCGGGGCCCAACGCTGTTGAAGGGGCCCAAGGACACAAATCAATACACACAAATAAATAGATTCCCCATATTTTCCCATATTTTTTCTGGGTTTCTGTTTCTCCCTCCCACTTCCCATATTTTCCCATATTTTCCAGGGAATCGAAGATTAATTGTGTCTGTGTGTTTCTTTCCCTCCTGAGTTGTAGCAGGTCACCTGGCGGCCAAAGTCGCGCTCGAAATGTGTGTTTGGGATGGTGAGTCCGTGGCTGGCACGCAGGTCAAGCGAGAGACTCCGCTTGGAATCTGCGCTGCACTGCGCCGCAGTCTCTCCAAAGACCAAATTGCCTATGTGATCAGCTTCGCCAGAAAGTTGCCGGTGCATTCTTGCGTTCAAATCCTCCAGCAAACAAGCCCGGCTGCGTCCTGGAGTTCGAGAAAGTATCGCGCCCAATTCTTGCAAAAACTCTCTGCGGTCCTCTGCCGGCTTTCCGCTGTGAGGCGCGTGGACACTGAAGACTGGAATTTTCCCTCCGCGGACGCGGATTTTTAGATAAGCAGTTCGTGAAGAGATCATGTTGAAGCCCTGGAGGATCTTGCGGGCTTGAAGAGGCACCAACAATCCAACTCCAATTGTCTCCTCGTCGCCCGAATTCCCAGACAAGACAACCAAGAAACCACGTTCAGTCTCGTAGCACATCGATTCGTATTCGTGCGCCCCCTGAATTGCGAGCGCGTCGATGCCCAGCGCCTGCATGTGGATCTGCAGCTCCTCCAGCTTTGCCTCACTCAGGCCTTCGACGACTCCAGAACATAGGGAGCCCACCAAGGAC